GAAGGTCTGGGGACTGTATGGAGAATGGAGAGTAATCCTGTGAGGCTGGAGTAGAACTGGAAAGGTGGATTTGGTGAGGCAGATTGTGAAGGGTTTTAAAAGCTATGCTTACAGTTTAGACTCAATCCTGTTTTGCAAAGTCTGGTCTGCAGATCACCAGTGAAAGACTGCCTGGTAGTGATTTTTTTAAATGCAGGCTCACTCAAGCCTGCAGAATCACAGTGGCTCCAGGAAATTTGCATTTCAAATGAGCTCCATTTCTCCACTACTGGAGGAGAATGGGCTGTGGACAATAGAGATCCACATATTCCTCAGTATATAAGGAAGTGACTTGTTAAGATCTGCATTTAGAAAGAGAGCTCTGAAGGCCTACTCTGTAGGTAACTATGCTGATTGAAACAGAGGCAGGGAGTCCTTCCATGATCTACTTGGAAGGTGGGGAGAGGGGAATATGTGGATAAAAAAATAAAGTTACATATTGATTCTTACTAACTGCTAATTGAAATTAGCAGTTATGTATTTTGTAACAAGCAACAGTAGTTTTTCCAGGACATGTGACTTTGTCACTTAAAGAAATTAGAGCTCTTTTCATATTACATTACGGATCTTACAGAGATATGATTTTTGCCCATCATATCTTCAAAATTAAGGTAGTAATTAGAATCACTGCTAGACCTTGCTATATAATATGTTAATAAAGGGGCACATATAAAGGGGATCAAATATATGGCAGCTGAAAGAAACTGGACTTTGGGTGGCAAACACACGATAGAATATATAGATGTCAAATTATAATACACCTGGTACACTATAGTACACCTGGATATTATATAATTGTATGAACAAATGTTACCCCAATAAACTTAATTTTTAAAAAGTTAAAAACAAAAAAAGTAAAATAAAGGGGCACATAAATTATTAAAATTTAAAAAATACTTTGATAACTGTATTTCCATAAAATCTGCCTCCCTTTCAATCCCATGTTTTTATTTGATGCACGTGCTTCAGGCTCCCAAAAGGGTTTATAGCACAAAATAGTTAGGAACTTCTGGTATAACAGGACATGTTAAAGGCCTGCACAAGTGGAGGCTATGGGAGAGGCTTAGAATACAGGAGACATTTCAAAGAGAGAAGTGATAGGATAGCATCTACTTAAATGAGTAAATATTCAATATTGGAAAGAGTTGGAAGAAGGTTGGAAGGGGAGAAACAAGTGTAGTAGACTAGTTAGAAACATTGTAGGAACAGTTATTTTTGGAGGGTGGATGTTGTATATTTGTCAGAAAATAGTTGAAGAGCCCAGGAGAACCTTGAAGCTTAATCAGGGTCTTGGTGGAGGATGACCAAGGAGAAGTTCTTGGTGACACATTTACCAGACTCCCAAGATGTTAGTCTTGGGTCATATTTTAAATCTTTGTTTAAAAAAAAGGGGGTGGGAGTGGGGGGAAAGCAAGCATGATGAGGTTACAAATACTTTGAGAAGAGAAAAGAGGATGATAATCACCTGGACAAAGTTGGTTAATTGAAGAATTGGGGACATAATACTTTCTAAGGAAAAACTCTAGATGGAAAGAAGGTGCTAGTGCTACAGGTCTGCTTAGAATTAAAGATCTCATGACTGGGAGTAAGCCACATATGCATACAGACAACAAATGGGAACATGTAAGCAGGTGTGTGCATTACAGCAGATAAAGTGAAGAGGGGGAGCTAATAACTGTTTAAATCGCTGTATTACCCAATTATAATTTGTGTCACCTATTCCTTTATCTGCAGTAGTTATTCTCCTAATAATAAAAGTATCATAAAAGATAGTCACAGACAAGTCTTGAAAGTTAGTTTGGAAGCAGGTCATTGATAGTTCTGAATGCAATGTTCCTTATAATCAGTGGAGTGCCAGCACAGGTTTTGAACTGTGACATGGAGGACTTACCTAGTATTCAAGTCTTTGTTACTCTCTAATGTTTTTTACTGTTAATGTGGAAGGTATTTTGGGATGGACAAAGAAAGGTATTTTGGGATGGAGAAATTAATTTACAAAGAAAATAAGTGGTTTTAATATAAAAAAATACTCATATGGAATGCTTAAATGTTTATGTTTTCTCTTTCACAAATTCTTTTTGAAATTCAATCAACTATAATGGCTTTGCAAACCAATTGTAATACAAGCCACTGAGGTGGGCATAACCTTTGCTTTAGGAATAGATGAAATATCACTTCTGCTACTCTTAATAATAATGAATTTTCTTCAGTTGGAAAAAGGAAAAATATGGTGAGCATTTCATAGTAATCTTAATAAAGTGATATCTGTATTGAAAATCTTTTATGACCTTTTACTAGTCAACTTAACGGGAAAATTTTTGGAAAATGTAGTACAGCACATTCACTACATGATATACGCAATT